TATATCTCAAAAGTTAATATTTTCAATTTTACACTGATTTAGAAAATAATCAGTTTTTTTTTTCATTTCCTGAACATTTTACATTTTCAGAGATGTGCCCTTTTCGAAATTGCATATTCAATTAAAATCCCACTTAAACTACTGCACGTAGTTCGCACAAAGCGAATGATTCAAAACGTGCTATTAAAAATATAGTTTTATACCAGAACGAAGGCAAAGGAAGGAGAATTTAATACATTCTGTTCACAAGATTTGGACAGAGTAATGAAAACACACGAAGATGTACGGCTTACCAACTGAGACTCGATGAAATATCGCCTGTGCTGAAAACTTTATTGTATTCAAGGTAGAAATCAGTTTTACAAACCGTGGTCTTAATATCTCTCATAATTTTTAAATTCCAATACAATAAGGCGATTTAACCCTGTGTCAATTCGTAGCTTGCATGGCGATAGTAAAATCTCTATTGGGTCACTCGTTGGTCGATTGGTCTTGACTACACGTTGGGTCCGTAACAGATTACCGGCCTAAATATTCGACATTCCGAACTACTGAAAGATGAGTAACGCATAAAGCAGCAAAATGAATATGCGAAATCACTCGCCTTATCTTGATTGCGCATGATGACATGAAATGTTTGTCATATTGGAATAACTCCAATTTCTGTAGTCCCAGATTTAAATATCAGTTTTGTGATTAATTACTGCTCTTTAAAAATAAAATGTGTCATTAAAATCGATTCTGTATCTATTCTGTTACCATGAAACTACAGAACGAAACTCACAAAGACAGATAAAAAAATTGGAATTTTGAAGTCAGTGTCCTGTGCATGTTTTCATGTTTTCTTTCGCTTCGCCTTATTTTCAAACTTATTTATCATGCAAATTCCTATTTAAAAAAAAAAAATTGCCCTTGTAGGCAGACGAGCACACGGCCCACTTGATGGTGAGTGGTTACCGTCGCCCATGGAATTCAGCAATGCCAGGGGCAGAACCAAGCCGCTGCCTACCGCGAAACTTTGATAATTGTAACTCTTCCTTGCATCGATAATCCTCAATGTTAAGGGTCGTGGCCTCTCTTAAACCTCTAAACTTTCTTCTAGACTAACCTGCGCCAGCCTATGGCATCGTGGATTGAGGTGTTGAGAATAGAGCGTATCTGGTCCGCCGGTCGCATTGACTTCTGCTTCTGGGCTTTATTCCGCATACCTTGCCTGTTACCAGCAGCTTTTATAAATTAAATTCAATTCAATTGTAAATAAATAAGAATATGTTTGTGAATACAATAGATATGATTAATCATCATCATTCTCCTGCCTTTCTCCCAGTCACCTGGGGTCGGCGCAACATGTTTTCTCCTTCCATACTCCTTTAACATTTACCATTTCTTCGCTCACTCCCCACTTACACATAATATCGTCTTTCACGCAATCCATCCATTTCTTCTTAGGTCTACCACTTCATCTAAAGCCTTCTAAATTCATAATTAAAACTCTCTTAACAACCTCATTAACATTTCGTCTCATCACATGTCCATACCATCCCAAAGGTGCACTTCTCAACCTCTCTGTCACAGGTGCCACTTTCAGATTTCCTCTGACATGTATTATAGGGACTATTAAATTAAGCCAATACAGCTTAATGAAGTTAAGAGCACTTTAAGGGACTTTTACTCGCCTGTTTCTAAACCAATCCACAATACGTCCCCCACTGATTTCTCACCTGCGTTTCTATCTGTTCTATGAAAAACGATATGAATTTTTCATCTACATCGCGAATAAGATATCCATTCACACGTGCTACCCCCAAGCGTTGTGAAGTCACAATCAAATTGGTAATATATTAGACCCAAGAGTATTGTAGAATAAAAATTCCCAATTCACAAAAGGGGAGGTCGTTTGTGCGATTTAAAATGAACTTGATTTATGAGTTGTATTTGAATGAGAGTAGCATGCTTATTTTAAAAAGAAAGAAAAAAGAGATTTGTCAAAGATTAATAGTGTAATTTATAAAAAATATTAACCAATAGTACCTACTGTATAGATTTAAGCAATATACATATTACTTTTATATAAGATACGTGTGCCATAGATCGGCAAATTCCATAGAGGATCTAATGTTAACAAATAACACTGCTATTCGACACCATAACTTATAATAGATATCCTCGCTCATCTTAAGCAAAGAGGTCGTGTTTTTACAACAATAACAACAATCCTACAATTTAAGCAAGAATTCGTAATGTCTTTACTTCGATAATAGACATAACATGTCAATACGTTCCATCCTATTTCTGTTTTCGTAATGCACGAGTGCTTTTTAAAATCATCAATATTTTTTTTGGCCATTTTGTAATTCAAATTTTTAAAAAAAGACTAGCCATTTATTCAAGTATTCAAGCCCCTCTTCACAACACACTCGCCTCCAAAGTTATTGAAGATTATTCCTTTGTTCTTTTAATGCTATATAGTTTTCTTTTTGGACTTAAACTATTTCACTTTTTACACAATACTGCCGAGGGTCGTTTTTTTCGTTACCGAAATAATGAACGTACTTATGATAAAGCACTTTTTAGCTTTTTATGGTAATGGCTTTGATCCATGAAACTATTGTTACCCAAATTACCGTACAGTTTTTGGAACTTTAACAATTTTTATTCTAATTATTTTTCGATAAACCCAGTTCTCTGTGCTTTCGTTATTCTACTTCTGTTCATTGTTGGCAAGCACGTCTAGTTAATTCTATTACGTGTTAGCTAGACTCTGTTTGATTCTTCACATCAATTTCATGAATCACCCTGATTGTTTTTTGGAGACTGTACTTGTTTTGTAGCACCAACTTTTTCAAGATTTATTTGTTTGCTTATTTTTATTTCGTTATTTTTCTAGTTCATTTATATAGGTTCGGATTTTTTTTTCAAGTTGCTCGAATTTCTTTTTTATCAAACTTTTCCACCTTTTTTATCGAACCCAGACACATTTAAAAATTTTGGGCCTTTTTCTTAACTTTTGGGTTTTTTGGACTTAGTTTGGTCGAGAAAAGCACAGCATTATACTAAAGTCTTTGAGTTCAGGAATTTGAGCGTAGTTCATAAAATGTATTGCGGAACGATCCAACAATCATCGGGATCAAATTTTAATAATCTCCCTATTAGCGTGAAATTAATCAAGAAAATGTAATGTAACAGCTATGATAGTACATTGATAAGTATATTTATATATAAAAGTTTCAAGAAGCGTGTCAAAGAGAATCAATAAATCTCTTACGTTCTTCTGCTCTAAATATTTTATTAAAATAGATATCGTGAGAAAATAACGGTGATCTAATTCTGTACAGTTTTTATAGACATTATCGTTATTATGAAAAATTTCTAAAACATAACTTTTTGATATACACTCACTTTTTATTAACTTTATTATTGAATGTTTTATAGATAGGTACTAAGTGTTTTATTGATTTAATCGTAATGTTTACGTTTTAAAGGCACCCACAAAACATATAATATATTATGTCAGCGAAATGTGTTCGTCAATTAGCGGACGCTTATTTAAATAAGCTTGAAATAAAGTTTAGATATAAAGATTTTTATTTTCATTGGGAAATATTCATTTTTCGTCTACCATAAATGGTCTGAACAGTTCAAGACGCGCCTGGTAAATACCGAAACCCATATTATTAGGTATACTTAATAATTTAAAATATAAATGCCAGCTTTTTTATTGACTTTGTAGGCAGAAGAGCTTATGGCCCGCCTGGTGGTAAATATTAACCGTCGGTCATGTTTTACCGGTGGTAGGACATCTTACAAGTCCGCGCGGGTAGGTAGCACCATCCTGCCTATTTTCTGCAGTGAATCAGTAATGAGCCCAGAGCCCATCTGGTGTTAAGTGGTTACTGAAGCCCATAGACATCTACAACGTAAATGCGCCACCCACCTTGAGATATAAGTTCTAAGATCGCAGTATAGTTACAATGACTGCCCCACCCTTCAAACCGAAACGTGTTACTGCTTCACTGCAGAAATAGACAGGGTGGCGGTACCTACCCGCGTGGACTCATAAGAGGTCGTACCACCAGTAAGAAATTAAACAGTTGCCTTCAGTAAATAAAACTTATTTCCGTTTCAATCTACTTATATCCATAATCTAATTTGTTTTATCATTCACAATATATTCTGAAAACGTCTGGTTAAAAATTGCGTTACACTGTGACACATGACACATGTGAACATTTCGCTCGACCTCTCAATGTTACGAAAAAATCATCACATTCCGCGCACATTAAAAACGCAAAAAAGCAATGATTCGTTAACACCCTGACGGAATTCGGAGTAATCTGTCTTGTCGCAGCGGAACACACGACCAAACAAAAATAACCAACAAATTATTTAAGATTCTTTCAAAGAGAACGAAAGTAGAAAAAAATTGCAGTGTCTAATTAGTCCGACCAGATCTCCGACCAAACTAACGGACCACTTAACGCTGCACTACACCGGCAACTGACCGGAGCCGATGGAGACAGGCAGTCGACAAGCTGAAGCGGAGTCACGATCACTCCCTCAGTAATGAGGGAGCGATGGAGAAGAAGAAGAATTAGTCCTATACATTTCGTTGTACCTTTGATGTTAAATGTGCCTTCTTTATTCGAGATTTTTAAATCATGTTGGCCTAAAAGATAAGACTCTCGATACACTGTTATTGAACGCGCGCTGCATCCAGCAGTAACAGTATTCACAAATTAATGCTTATGGACACTGACAAGCCCTTATCACCAGGTGAGCTAGGTTCTCCAAAAAAATCTATACTAATATTATAAAACTGAAGAGTTTGTTAGTTTCAACGCGCTAAGACCATGCAGGCGGAGCACCAATAAATAATGTTACAAAATCGGTTTTTTTTCCCTTTTGAGAGCTTACGCTATATGTAGATATGCCAAAGTAACTATTCCACGCGGACGAAGTCGCGGGCAAAAACTAGTAATAAAAAAAAAATATAGACTTACCGGCGTAATTTTTCATTCAGGTGACATTATCTGAAAGAATAACAAGATTTTATAATTACACTCTCAAGCATCGCTGTTACTGTCGCACTGTAGTGACCCATGGTCATAATATCGCGAATACTCAAGTCGAAACATGAGGTCAGTGTTACAATTATGTAATATAGTATAATATTGGCTAGCCTACTTTTCAAAGTGGAACGTATGAGTTCTTCAAGAGAAAAACATGTTTTCCACCACATTCATACACACATAAATCAAAGTTTTATTTTCGGCATACGCTATCCTCACTTAAGTCTCCACTGTTGTCATAGAAATTATGCTTTTACTTGACCCAGGGACGGTATGAATTCTTCTAAATACTTATGCCCAACTTAGCGACTATAACACTAAAAATTGATCACGTCGACTGCGAGGACATTACAATAATATTACTGCGATCTTCCATTCTATACGATCATTCCCTAGTTTTCTTGTTTTTGCGAAAAGTCCGATGTGACCTTTTCTTTTTTATTGCCTAGATGTGTGGACGAGCTCACAGCCCACCTGGTGTTAAGTGGTTACTGGAACCCATAGACATCTACAACGCGTAAATGCGCCACACACCTTGAGATATAAGTTGTAAGGTCTCAGTATAGTTACATCGGCTGCTCCACCCTTCAAGCCGAAACGCATTACTGCTTCACGGCAGAAATAGGCGGGGCGGGCCTATCGTATAAATGTAACAGCAGCATGAAAATAATGTATGAAATCAACAAATTGTAACTACGGAATACCATTAATCGTGGATACCTCGAGGCCAATAGTTTCCGTGCAATAAATTATCAATTTCGAGATTAATTTGCGGGAACCCGTACTCCTGAGAACTAATTCGTAAGATTATCCAGAGCGGTCGAGATCCGTATTTCCCGCAATATAGCCACATTACGTTTGGCCTTGAATGAAGAGGAAGCTGTTTAATTTACACACAAGGGATGAATAATATATAAATTAAATTGTAATGTAAACATAAATGCCGGCCTTTTTGTTTGGCCCGAGTTTGATAAAGAGGTAAAGAGGTACTTGTGATTGTCGTACACCTCCAAGCGTTAAGTGGGTGCTCACAATTTTATTGCCAATGTCAATATTGATACATGACTTACAAAATCTCATTTACTTCAACCCGAAATATATGATTGTATCGTATTAAAGATAGACTGAACCTATTGCATGATTTATGTACAAACAGCACTAAAAATGGGTACTGGAGATATATACGTTTACCAGTATATTGTCAATGCAGTACGACTTAGAGGAGGTACTCGAGAGGCTTAAGAAATATGTTTAAACTAGCGACCCGCCCTCGCTTCGCTTCGGAAACTGTAATTTCTCCACTCTTCAATGGATGTTATTATACACATAAACCTTTCTCTTTAATCACTCTACCTATTAAAAAAAACCGCATCAAAATCCGTTGCGTAGTTTTAAAGATTTAAGCATATATAGGGACAGACAGATATAGGGACAGAGAAAGCGACTTTGTTTTATACTATGTAGTGATAATAAACTTGCTTCGAATCCTATACAACAGTGTGTAGCGAAACGGCAAACATCGTTTTAGTCCGCATAATGTGTTTCCCTGTTCTCCTTAACACGTCAAGTTCGCGTCAACTTTACACTCTCGTGAGACACACGCGAAACTTTGTTATGAAGATTCCAGTTTGAGCTGGAAAACGAATTCTATTAAATTATATAATGGGATTATAATTTGTTTATCTTCTCTTACTTTTGAAAAAGCCTTTATTGTGTGCTATCATGACTATATTAAAAAAAAAACAATATATCTATATTGTAAGTGAATTGTATAGTAAATGTCCTTTAATTTTCGAATCCAATACCTAAGCCCAAGCTATTTGAAAAGTTACAACGACGAGTCCCAACCAAACTAAATATTGAGCAGAAATTTCAACTAAAAACGACAATTACGACGCTGCCTATAATTCAAACATTCAGAAATCTCAGTTGCGTTGCAGTGGTCTGGTTGACCGGCCTGCGAACCTACGAGGCGATTCTGGTGGTCCTCGGAATCTGAGTGAATTGTGACCGCAGACGCCTCAGAGCACGATTGCTCCGCGAAGGATTTCCACCAGATCACAGCCTTAGTCAATGGCAGAGTGCCATCATTGGGGATACCACTTGGACAAGGCAAAACACAGGATCGCGGCTTGCCCTGAATTGGGTTGACGTGGTTCCCTTAATGCACAAATATGTATGAACTTGTGTCCACTGAGCCTAGTTGTCGCCGTACTGGGGGCCAAGATACTGGGTCCCGCTCGAATCCTGGCACTCTAAATGTTTCCGTATGCCGTTTTATGGACCGACCAGGGGAACATAAGAAGAAGACGTTTAAATACACGCGTATTGCAATATAGCAAGCAATCCGGTGACGAGGGACGAACGTGATCCACGACCAGTGATCCAGCTGGATATCCCAGGGCTACGATCTGGTGGCACCGTCTAAGCGGGTTCCGGATAGCCTGCCGACTGGAGAAGCCCGCCGGTTCATGCAATAGAGTAATGTGGCGAACTAATATGCACTTTGACTCAGAGCCTCTGAGTGAAGCGCGTCACCTCATTCACACATTACCTTCCATAAACTATGCCTTCCGAGGCGGGTTCACATTGGACATACCCCCGTGTGATCTTCTTCTGACCCTAAGAAAAACTGGTTGTCCTATCCATCGCACTGGAAGGCAATATTTCTTTATTACCAAAAAGTGACAGTATAATTTTAGACAATGTACCTTTTTTTATCTAAACATCTTTAATTTAACACCTTAAAGAAATGTACTAAGTCCACCCAGCTGAATAGTGAAAGCTTCTCGTCGTCAATCGATGCTTTTTGATATCAAAGCATGCACCAACACAATTAATTATCAAAACAATGATTGTGAACAAACACATAACTGTGCGTATGTATGGAGATGCAAGAAATATATGTACACGGAAAGAATGTAAACATGAAAAAAATTCGTCCGACGTTCCACGATAATAAAAGTTATTTCAAATTTAAATTAAATAAAAATAAACATTATTACTCGAAATGCTAATGTAGCAAAATCACTTCGGGAACACTTGTAAATAAAACGTACAACGATCTCCGCTGGGGAGAAACTTTTTATCTTTATTGTATCTCTATAATTTTGTGTTTTTTTTTTTACTCGTTTTTATTGTAAACATAAAAACGTTAACGATCCCAAAACGGTTTGCATCCCGTGTAATTCTCCCTTTATATTCCTCTTGGATCCAAACTGATACCATCAGTGATTCCCAGTTTCGAGACACATTATTTGCATTTTCCAGAGCCTGGTGCGACGAGGGAGACGTCAATTTAGGACTTTTAGTGTTTTTAGTGTCAAATTTCCAGGATTTCAAAAACCTTTTAGAATACTCTACACATAATTGAATCCGTGACTTTTGATTGTGCTTACGATGCAGCAACGATCTTTGAGAATCATGCTATAATTCTGCATTCTAAGAAAAGTTTTAGTTTGTTATCTGATTTGCAAAGATTATCAACCATTACTTTGATATCTTCTTCTTTTTCTCCACCTTATCCCACTAGGTGGAGTCGGCGCAGCTAATTTTTCTCTTCCATTCTCTACTATCAGCCGTCATCTCAACACTTACTCCTCTCTCTCTCATATCGTCATTCACACACTCCATCCATGTCTTCTTCGGTCGACCTCTTCCCCCTCTACCTTGCACTACCATTTCCATACATCTCCTAGTCACATGCATCTTCTCTCTCCGCATGACATGTCCATACCACGCTAACCGTCCGCTCTTTAATTTGTTGATTACCTACTTTCACACTTACTTCTAATATCAGTTTCAAAACAACACTAAAGTTCTACATACTCAATCTATTACCTCGTGCCCTGGTGCTGTTTGTTTTAACGTGTCACAAAAGTCACTTACGTCGACAAAATGACCTCACAACTCCAGATTAACGTAACGTCTTCTGTCGACCGAATAAATCGTGTTAGACAGGGCCGTAATCAGGAAGTTGGAAGACATTCGGGACTTCCACGATGAAGGAATATCATCGTGTAATAAAAATGAAACCCGCAAAAAATATAATTTGCGTAATTACTGGACCTCTTGTGAGTCCGTACGGATATGTATCACAACCCTGCCTATTTCTGCCGTGAAGCAGTAATGCGTTTCGGTTTGAAGGGTGATGCAACCGTTGTAACTATACTGAGACCGTAGAACTTATATCTCAAGGTGGGTGGCGCATTTATGTCTATGGGGTCCAGTAACCACTTAACACCAGGTGGGCTGTGAGCTCGTCCACCCATCTAAGCAAAAAAAAAGACTTAAGTGCTTGGTTACAAGAGTGCGCCCGTCCTCGTTTCGGAGTAAAATGCCTTAGTTGTTCTGCATCCAGCTCGCGATTATGACTAAATAAAACTAAGCAAGTTTTTTAATATATTTAACAACTTCAAATGTAAAGGTTTAATCTAACTAAATGGTAGTTTCCGCGATGAACGAACAAAGAGTTAAACAAACTTAATGAGAGACTTTGAAACACTCTAAGCCTCGAGGAGAGATTTATCGAAACTCTTCACGTATACTGAGATTGTATCTATAGAATAGCGGATAGTTTAGTTTTGAATGTATGCTATTAAATTTTAACATGACCTTAGCAGTAAGACAACCAACTAGACTTCGTAGTTTAACTTGTATTGACAATTTCATTCATAATTCAACTTCCTCATGTACTACAGATATAATTGAATTCGCAATGTCTGATCACACGGCACAGTTGATTAAGTTTCCAACTAAACAATTTTTTATTATTAACGGCTGGAAAATAAAACGAAGAGACTACTGTAAAGAAAATTTAGGAAAATTCCGTGATTGCTTAATCAACTACTCTTTTACTGAAATGTATAGTACTGATGATCCAAATAAGGCCTATGATAATTTTCTTGAGATTTTCAAACTCTTTTATGACCTTTGTTTTCCGGAAAAACAAATATTTATTC